AAAAGTAGTGCACGCCTACAACTGCACTCGGAATGAGGCTACAGGATTTTTCCTGTACTCTTTGTTGTTTGGCCGTACTCCGAGACTTCCTTTAGACATCTTGTTCAACTTGCCTTCACAGGAACAGCAATTAAGCTACGTGGAGTATGTGACAAAATGGCAACCCCGAATGAAGGAGGCCTATGAGACTGCATCTATGGCAGCCCAGAAAGAAGCTTCAAGAGATAAACTGTCAGATCTATGGAGCTCAACATCACCCAGGGAACAGTGTCCTGCTCCACAGCCTCAAAGAGCAAGGAGGCCCAGGCAAGCTTCAGTCACACTGGGAGGACACAGTATATGTGGTGGTGAATCAAAAAAGCCCTGACATCCCAGTTTATGAGATCAAGCCAGAGAGGGGAGGAAAAAGCCACAGTACACAGGAACCTGTTGCTTGCATGTGACAGCCTACCTGTAGAAAAACCACACAGACAGGAGCAAAACAAAAGATGTAAAAGCCTAAGACAAAAGGGTGGGGTGGGGGGGGGGGGGGGGGAGAAGTTCAACAACATCTACTACAGCAAGACAAGGACATAGAGAGTGAAGATGAGGGTGAGGTTGTCTGAAGGTTTCCACAGCAAAATAGTACCACCAGCATTATCCCTCAAACCCTGAAATCTGAGGTGGGTGAACAACAACTGGGAAAGCCTCAAACCGCTTCTGTAGATGTAGGCTTCCTCACATCTTTCTGTCTCTTCATGTAATCCCCTTCCTGTTGTCCCTTTCTTACAGGACAACAGAAAGGTACATGAACCTGAGTTGCAGACAACAGAGCAACATTACAACCAACAGAAGTCCCAAGATGAGCAAATATCAGAGGAACAACAAGATGAGCAAGGAAACAGTGACTCGAGCAGTGAACAAGGGTTGTCACCTGTCCTCAAACACCCCAAGGGAGAGTGACAACAGCCCAAACTGCTGACATACGACGTGTTAGGACAACCCACAGTCAGACAAGCTGATATGGACAATATTAAAACGGGAGCTATTTGCACCCAGGGACTGTGGAGGCCTTGGTGGCCTGAAGATATATACCAGCAAGGTGTGAGAGACAGTAATAAGAAACTGATCCAGAATAAAGACATTAACCCTCTGGGGTCGACGGATGTGACGGCACGTCAAGATCACATGACCAATTTAAGACGAAACAGCTACAAGATGCAGCGAGTCAGAAACTCCATATAACCTTGGGTCAGACTATATACCAGTCTTTAAATTGTGTCGATAGGCCATGTAAAAGCAGAGTTATGATAAAAAATACACGCAATGTTTTTTTTCTGAACAAAACAGTGGTGTTTACAGTGGGAAGAAATGGTAAAAACTGTGTTTTCTAAGGACAGCGCCAGCAAACACTCTCTGCTGGCGAGTGGAAAACGAAAAAACACCCCTTCCCTTTTGGTGTTAAAGTGTGCCATTTCAACCAATCAAAAAATGATATGGCAACATGTGGGACTTGGTTGTTTAGGAAGAGGGGGAAATTTTAGGAGTGATGCCCGTGAGAGAAAGCGAGTGAGTGAAAGAAAGAGAGAGAGCGAGTTTTCACATGTGAGACATTAGTGACGTGTAGCGTGTTTGGAGGCTATAGTTAGCGTGTTGTGTAGTCAATGTTTTGTTTTGTGTGTCAGTTATACAAGTGAATGTCACATTTGCTCCAAAAAACCCACCAAAGGAAGATTCTGGTGTAAACACCGTCTCCACATGGAAAACAGGACTGAAACACCTCCTGTTGTCAGACCTGCAGGGTTTAGGCCTGTGGTGTTCTCCTCTGTCTTATAGTGGACACAAATTCTTATTTGATGCAAAACACCTGATTGTTTTGTAAATAGTTTTAAATGGTTATATAAAAAACTCCTGAGGCCATGGCTGCATTTTAGGTAAATAGTACCATATAACTTTGTTTGAAAAACTTGTGAATAATTTTCAGAAATGTACCATTTCTATTTGCATTTCAAGTTATGAAAATGTTTCGTTTTAAACATGTTTGTGGTTTTTACAGTAAAAAATATAACTTTTTTTCTACTCTGATTTGTATTTTTCTTTGTCTGAATTTAGATCAATTGTTCTAATATAGTATGTCAAAATGAAAAAAATAACTCAAATTTCTGATATTTGAGGTTGTGCTGAAAATAATGATACCATGGACAGCAAGATAAACAGTTTTTAAAAGTAAAATATAGAGGTAAAATCAAAAGTAGTCAAAAACGGCCAATTATACCCTGGACCCCAGAGGGTTAACATGAACATTGTGACAAGCACAATAGAGCAAACACACCACCAAAAGACAATGGACAGAATGGTGTGGCTGAACATATGATGGTGATGACCATCTGTAAAAGTGCCTTAATATGTAAACAAATTTAGTGTATTGTTGTCCAAATATTGAGTCTGGTTACAGTCGAAAATTCATAGTAACTTGTTCATTAACCTTGAGGAAGAAAAATTACTTGGCACAACATGAATCATGATTAGCTTCTACTATGAGTTTTAATTTGCTGAATGTAACATAGTGTGGGAAATGTTTCATTGAACAGATGTCATTAGTATGTGTAACCATAATTGTTACTCAGGGATAAGTATACTAGTAGTACAAAAGAAATATACTGATAACAGCAAACATGTGAAAAAAGTTTGGGAAAAATAGAATCCTTTTTTTCTCACACCATTTTTTGGTTTTTGTTTTTGTTGTTACAATAGTTTGCATCAGCACAGAGCAAAAAGCTCATTTGCTCCCACCTGATGTGATATTAGGGCGATATTTAGTTTCGGCAGTAGGTGGCAGTGGCGGCTCAGACAAACGGGTGACAGGCAAAATAATCCCTGACAAAAGTAACGCAGGCCAGTTATTGTAATGGAAGCCGTCAGTAACACAGAACTCTTTTGCTGTGTTTCAGCACAATAAACTGCTCCTCACATACAAGGTCTTAAATAATCAGGCCCCATCTTATCTTAATGACCCTGTAGTACCATATCACCCCATTAGAGCACTTCGCTCTCGCACTGCAGGCTTACTTGTTTTTCCTAGAGTATTTAAAAGTAGAATGGGAGGCAGAGCCTTCAGTTTTCAGGCCCCTCTTCTATGGAACCAGATTCCAGTTTGGATTCGGGAGACAGACACTATCTCTACTTTTAAGATTAGGCTTAAAACTTTCCTTTTTGCTAAAGCATATAGTTAGGGCTGGATCAGATGACCCTGAAATATCTTGTGATCCTTGAAATTAACTACTGTAGCATGATTACAGCACCTCCTGCCAAATGCAATAAATAAATAAAGGTGGGATACATAAGTAAAGATCCTTTAATTTCCATGTAAAAATCATGGTGTTACATAGTAGCTAGAAGTGGTACATATTCAAATAATCTATCAGCCAATAACTTGTACTTTATGTAGTATCTAAATTATAATAGAAATATGTTTATTGTATTTTTGCTTTGTTTTGTATAGCATTTTTTTCTTTTCCTTCCTAAATAAACTTCTGTATATTGTTTACATGATTGGAAATTAAACAAAAAATGAACACAATACCAACAGTTGCCTCAAGGTGTTTTATATTGTAAGGTAAAGATCCCACAACAGTACAGAAAAAAATAAATAACTTTAAGAAGAAAGTATTGCCACCCAAAAGGAGAGAAGGGCAATATCATACACAAGTTCATGTAGTATAGTAGAGGCTCCTTGCCCCAGTTGGTCTTGTGACATCTTTCTGTCTCTTCATGTATCTCAGACACACTCGATGATGTTGAGATCAGGACTCTGTGGGGGCTGTACCATCATTCCCAGTACATCTCTGACTTGCTCACTGTCTACAGCTCAGTCAGACCTCTCAAGGATCAGATTCAGATGTTTTACCTGTTCCCGGAAATAGATCTCAGTCTACTAAGAGTGCTTTCAGTCATTGTGGTTTTGTTCTTTGGAACAAGCTGCCTGCTGACATAAGATTTGTGCGTTTATTCAAAAACAAACTTAAACCCTTTTTATTCACACAAGCCTATCTATACATTATTGGTGATATGTTCTGGTGTTGTTTTATTTTTGTTTGTTTTTTGTTTTGTGTTACTGTTTTCATTGCCTTTAGGAAGTGCAAAGCCACACATGTTTGCCTTTATTTTCTGTCTTTTATTTTACATATCATAAAATACTGTTACTTCATTACTTAAACAACAAAAGATAAAAAAGGTATCCACACTGATGTTTTCGTGTTTTTAAAAAGATAAAATAATCAACAGTCTTTGTGAACAAGCAAGGAGTTAGATGCATGAGATGAGTTGAAGAAAATAAAATGCAAAAAGAAACAGGGCTCTGTGTGCGGGCAGGCAGAGATAGAAGACCCAATCGCGGGACTTGTGGAGACTCAATGGCAAACTCAAAGAATCTCAGCATTACTGCTGGCATGAAACAAAACATAAACCAAACTGAGAACGCTAAACAAGAACACATGCAATTCTGAGGGCACAAAGCGACAGTGAGCAAAGGAAAACACAGGCTTATATACACAGAGTAATAATCAGGGCATGGGAGACACAGCTGGGAGAAATTAGGGCTGAAAAGACACGGGGAAGTAAAACTGAATCCACTGACATAGGACTGAGACCATCAAAATAAAACAGGAAGCAATTCACAAAGACGCAGACTTGACGCTGAACTAAACTTACACTAAAGACGAGGGAACAAGACACAAAATCTAAGAACAAAACCCTAAAGCAGATTAAACTGAAACATGGAATATAATAATCCCCCCCCCCCCCCATGTTCAGCACAAAGTTACACCCATGATGGAGTGACGGGCTACAATTACAGGAATAAAGACAAGGTTTATAGGAAGCAAAAGGCCGCAGGAACAGAAGGCCACATTCCAAAGGTTCAGACCTGTTAAACAAACTCAAGCAACAACAGGTGCATTTGCTGTCCCTTCACTTCTTTCACTTTTAATTCTGCTACAAAGGAGAGAGGTTGTGTGGACAACATGTCAGGAATAGCAACTAATGAAACTTCCTTCTTTCGTTCTAACTATGAACATGTAACTCTGCCTGCTGTTTACACCTTTGTTTTTATCATTGGTCTGGGAGCTAACGGATGGGCAGTGAGGTCCTTGCTTCAGAAATGGAAAATTCTTGGACACATTAATGTGTTTCTTCTGAACCTTGGAGTTGCTAATTTTTTGTTCTTGCCAACTCTCCCATTTTTGTCAGCATACTATTTTATGAGGAATAAATGGATATTTGGAGATGCCTTCTGCAAGATCACAAGATTCTGCTTCAACTTGAATTTATACGGCAGCATTGGATTCCTCACCTGTATAAGTGTGTACAGGTACCTGGCTATTGTCCATCCGATGAGGGTGATGGGAAAAATAACCGTCACTCTCTCTGTGGCTATCTCAGTTTTGGTTTGGCTGTTGGTGAGTGTTCAAAGTCTTCCAGATATGTTCTACCCAAAAACCTCTGCAAACAACACTCATACAAATAGAACTGAAAAATGTCACCATATCACCTCTACAGAGTATGTTGAGAATTACCTGAAATACAGTGTGGGTTGGACATTGACTGGGTTTGTTATGCCACTCCTTATCTTACTTGGCTGCTATGGACATGTGACTCTTGTTCTCTGCCGCAAAAATACCATTAATAAGGTGGTGAAACAAAGAAGCTTAAAGTTGTTGTTCATTTTGATCTTGCTCTTCTCAGTTTGTTACATCCCCTACCATATTTTTAAGAACCTCAGTCTTTATTCAAGAGTTTTGATAAAATACAGGATGCGTCCAAAATGGGATAAAGGAGTCTTCTGTGCTCATCAGATCAGTCGTGGTCTTGTGTGTCTGAATAGTGTTTTGAACCCCCTGGTTTACCTCCATGTCATGGATATTCCTGCTCAGCTCCAACAGCTGCTTCAGCAGTTTCGTCAGACATTTACTCGTTTGTTTGTGTCAAACTATGTCAGTGTGCCTGTGGCACAAACTGCAAACAGAGCAATATATTAACAGTGATTAATGACTTTACATGCAAAAGTAAGTAAGTTAAAGGCTGCTTTATGTACTACAATGTGTTTCATTCTCTTAATTATCACTCCCCTTCTTCTAACAGTTCTTCTAACAGCACAAGTGTTTAGACAAATATGTATATATACCTTTATGTATCTTTTGTTTCCTATTCTATTGCCTTGTATTCTGTGAATGACTAAAACCTGATGGAATGCATTTACTCTTTTGCTTTAAAACTCATTCTCCTTATCATGTATGCAAGATGTCATTGTTATTCCTTGTTATTGCTCTGTATTAGCTTCACTAGCTATTAGCATTTAGCTGATGATATTATGGATCTGAAATAAATGTAATTTAATCCTTGAAAATTGCATTATTCAAACTCCTTACAACAACAACTTTCACTTTAATGATAGATCAGGACAGAGCTCTGGCAGATTAGTATAATTTATTTCATATTAGTGCTATTACTGTATTTTTTGCACTTTTCAAGAAACTCAGCCTTTATTCAAGAGTTTTGTCAAAATGAAGGATGAGTCCAGATTGGGATGAGGGAGTTTTTGGTCCTCATCAGATAAGTTGTGGTCTTGTGTGTCTGGATAGTGTTTGGACTCCCCTGGTTTACCTCCTTGTAAAGGATTTCCCTGCTCAGCTCAGGCAGCTGGTCTGGCAGTATTGTCAGATGTTGTATTGTCAGTATTGACTTTGGCTTTCTCAAGCACAGCTGAGTTTAAAGACTGCATCATGTAATTCATTTTATATCATTCTTTTAACTATTATTCTGTTGTTGTTTTTTTAATAACACATTTAACAAAAAGGTCTACATACATACTTTTATACACACACTTCACACTCAATCTACCTTCAAGCCTGTAAAGTTTATTGTGTTTATTGCTGACACACAGTCCAGATGTATAGTCCATGTATTTTGTTGTTGCAACCTCTGTTTTGTTTTCTTTTTTGTTATTGGTCAGTTTAAAATCTTGGACATTTAAGAATTGCTGTGCAAAATATTGGAAGCATACATCCTCAGATTTAAAGCGACCTTCACTGACCATATTTGCCATAGCTGGTATAAAGGGCTGTTGCTTCATTTGTCATTTTGTTCACCAGATTGTTTCATTATCTTCTGTTCTAATAACATCCAAACTTCCAGTTTCTACAACATAATCATGGTTCTTCTTAACCTTTAAGTTCCTGTGAAAGATTTAACTTGTTTTTGTTCTGTCATGTGCCAGCTTGTAGCTCTGTGTTCTGTAGAAAACCTTTGGATTTCCTGTCTGCCATACGAGCCACTGTGAAATTTAGGTGGATTCCTCTGATGCACATTTCATGGCCATTATGAATGAACTTTTCAATATTTACCAGTTGTTATCTACTGCATATAAGATTTGTCATTAATAATTAGCATAGCTCATTACTGGGGACTGCTAAAGAGGTATCATGTTATCCTGTAAACTGTAAACCTTGTCCTGAACAGCATGTTCAAACATTTTTCTGTCCCTCCTCTACATCTAGGATGGTGAGGGAAGCTATTAGCTATAGTGTTTAACTGCAGGCACATTTTATGTAAGATTCTGGTTTGCTTATTTGGTAAGGAATGTTTACTTCCTGCCATTTATGGGCTCACCTATGCTTGTATATGGTGGATCATTAAAGAGGTTCAGCCATATACAGAGTGAGGGGAGACGATCCTTTTATGACCACCAGGAATTCACGCACGCACGCACGCACACACACACACACACACACGCACGCACGCACGCACGCACGCATGCACGCACACACACAGTGTCTTTGCTTTCATGACACACCATATGGGTTTTACAACGAGGTGTTTGTGTAACTATTGTCACTGAATAAAAGGCTGTGAGAGGATGCTGATTTTTTGGAGCTGGCTCGGATCAAGAGAGGAGCATTCAGCTCCAAGATCCTGATCCGACTGGCTTCGCTTGCAAGTCAAAATGGATTGAGCCCTGATTGTCTTGCTTTGTCCAATGGGATAAGTGTCTGAGCTAGCAAGGCCTGCGAACGCAGACCTAACATTTATTTGGTCCTTTAAACCGGAGCCCAAAATCGCCCCCACCGAAGAGGGTGAGGACACACCAAAATCTGTCGACAGCCAGGATGCCTGGGGCGCCTGAAGAAAGCCCTGGAACGTGAATTTGAAGCCAGGCCAGTAAGAAGTTAAAATGGATTGATCTCTGATTGTCTTGCTTCGTTCATGGGGATGTCTCTGAGCTACAAAGGCCTGCGAGTACAGACCTAACAATAGCCTAGTTTTAAAAAAAAATTACTATGATAAAGATAATTTTGATTTTTTCTTCAGTGTACCTGAGCTCAAAGCTAAACCTTTCTATAGGCTGTATTTAAACACTGTATAAAATATGCCCTTTGTAAATAAGTTGAACACAATCATGATATATTATTTGGAAATACATAAAAAGTAATTAATATTATCTTTAGATCTAAAGGACACCTCCCAGACTTTAGTCTTAATCGTGGCTACTGTTAGTTGTCTTCTAACAATCAGTGATTAACTAATTAATTAATACTTGAAGTAAATAAATCAGTGTTATGAGAAAATGCGAGTGGACTCAGAGAGCAGAACACACGAAGACACAGAGTTGCGATGAAGGAACTTTATTAAAGAGACATAGGAGAGGTGGAGAATAAACTCAACCTGGGTCTCTATTGTCCTGTGTAGTCTGGGAGATGATTGAATGATGGGGTGGGTAAAGTTTCCTCTGCGGTGGGGTCGGGTGGGCTTCCCCGGGTCCTGTGGGGCTTAGCGGTGCTGCTGCCGTAGGCCCCGGTCTGGATGGGCCTGGGCCCCCTTGGCTTGGTGGGTGTCAGAGGACAGGGGTGCCTACTGGGATCAGCTGGCGCCAGGGAGGGGCTTCTTGCCCCTACCTTCTTTTCCTCCCCATCCCCGACTGCCTCCCTCTTCCCGCTCCACCACACCTACCCACACAAGTAGGGCCTTGGGGTGCAGATGTGTCACCAGGGTGCAGGGGAGGCATCCCCCCCTCGTCCCCTTCTGGCCACCTGTGCCTCAATTTTATTCCACAACTTAGACATCCACATAACACATACATATAGGGCCATGAGGGTGGGCACGTTAACGGTGTCCAGAGGACGGTTTGTCTCTTCAACCCCACCTCTGGGAGGAGGTGTTGGCCGTCCGATTGGGATCTGGGATGCGGGGCCTCCCTACTGCTGCGGAGCCGGGGCGGTCTGCTTTCCTCCACCCCAGGGGAAAGGGTAACATCTCCTGGGTCTAGGTGCCGTTTCCCCCTCTGGGGGCGAGGGTACCTGGACCCGGGGTATAGAGTATGTTTGGGGAGTGTGATTGTGTGTACAATGTCCATTGGTGTCTATGTGGCAACCGTGGCTCAGGGGATTGGGAAGCGCATCTGTAACCGGAAGGTCGCCGGTTCGATCCCCGGCCTCTCTATCCTGGTCGTTGTGTCCTTGGGCAAGACACTTTACCCTACTGCCTACTGGTGTTGGCCAGAGGGGCTGATGGCGCAATATGGCAGTCTCGCTTCTGTCAGTCTGCCCCAGGGCAGCTGTGGCTACAACCGTAGCTGCCTCCACCAGTGTGTGAATGCGAGAGTGAATGAATAGTGGCATTGTAAAGCGCTTTGGGTGCCTTGAGCTTTATTAAAACTCATAAATCCAATCCATTATTATTATGTTGGCTGAGTATTTGTATATGTGTGCATGAGGGTGGGAATGCATGTGTGTGCCTGTTTGTCTGTGTCTAATGTCAGGTCGGGTCTTAGACTGCACCTCTCTGGGAACTTCCAGGCCCTCCAAAGTATGGAGGCCTATCTCCCCTCACCACACTCCCTGCCGGTGGCTGATGCCCTCAGGGGTCGGTGCGTTGGTGGTTCTTGGTGTCCGGGGCTGGGCGCTCAGGTATGTACCAGCTCACTCCCGGTGGCTACTTGGCAGGGCCTGGCGCCTGTTGGTCGGTCAGGCCTCTTCCAGGGCGTAGGGAGCCCTCGGGTCTCCGGGCTCTGGGCCTGCGGCTTGGTTCACTCTGGCACAGCTGGCTACCGGCAGAGCCGGCGGGCACACCAGTGCAGCCCCCTCTGTCTTCTGCTCTGTGGCTGCTGGGTGACCTCTCGTCTGGGGCTCTCCTCAGCTCTTCCCAGGAGGGTGGCACGGTTGCCCCTCCAGTGGTCCTCCTTGGGCTCTCGCACTCTGGGGCCTCTGGATGTCTGGCATCTGGATCTCCTCCATTCCTGCTTCATGCCCTGGGGGACGGGGCTATGGCTCCCTACACCCTCTAGCAGACCATTACATGGGGAAACCTTTTGAATACAAGCACGCTGATCCACACAGGTGTGCACACGGGTGTTCACTGTCCATAGACATAAACTACACCTTTCTTGGCTGCTACCTCAAAGCACATTGTGCGCTGTCGGTCCTGCGTGCTGCACCACAACATTCAATATTTAGTATTTACTGCTGTTTACACTTAGCTAGATTAATGCGATGGTGTTGTGTTGCTCTCTTTTTTTTCTTGTTTTCTCTTCTTTTTCTCTCAACGGGTGATCCAGGAGTTTTTTTCTCTCTCGCTTTCTCTTTTTAAGTGCCCTTTCTCACTGTCCCTCTTCCCCTCTGTTTTTCTTTTCCTTCATCTTTCTTTCTCCCTTTCCTATCCCCTAGTCATGTCTGTCCCGTCTGTAAGAACTGAAAATAAAATAACATAAATAATAATAACAAAGGTCGATCAAATGGACCAATACGGCAAGGCCATGATGATTCACTTGGTAAAGTAAATCCATTGGGTATCCTTTTTGGCCTTCAGACAACAATTCTGACGGCTAAAGAACCAAATGGGACAGACAAAAAAAAAACAAAAAACAGTGGAGGGCGAATTTCAGAAACAATGTATTTGCAACAGAATGTAAATGGTAACGTGGAGCCAGGACGTCCAGGGGACGAAACACACACTAGTAACGCACTCAATCTAAGGGGAGAGGAACATGAGAATTAGGAGGGTCTTGCCCAAAACCGAGAACAAACATAAACCAGAATTTATAGAGAGAGGTGTAGAGCTTACTTGATACTGTCTGCAAAAACCTCTGGAAGGAAACGAACCAGACGAGGCTAAACAGAGAAACAGAGAGGCAAAAATCCTGGGGAGGAAACAAAACTCCATTCAGTCACAAGCAAAATAAATCCACAAGCTCCAGTAGGCAACCGGGCCGGTTTAGAGGCACTCCAGAAAGGACAATACTGCGACACTAGAGCCCTGTCGGGCAGCTCCTTAAGAACGCTAAGTGTCTAATGAATGACAGGTGTGCCAGGTTTGGTGAATTGCTGCACACACCTACCTATGCGAAAAAGGAGACACAGAAAAACACAGACAAAACACCGCACTATTGGGTTTATTCAAACAAACCCCGCTGAAACAGAGACCAACAAACTGCAAACAAAGCAAGACAACACAGCGCTCTTTGTTGTTTCACTTGCAAGGGAAGTCCGGCCAGGGTCTTAGAATTATTCATCCTTCATGTGAACTCAGTTAGCTTCAAACCTGACTTCCCTTATGGCTCCTTTTATTAATAAAAAGCAGCTACACACAGTTCAGTTAACCACATAACAGTTAAGGCAAGCATATATGAGCAAGTGTGTGTGTGTGTGTGCCATCTCCTGTCACACCATACATGGCGCGATCTCTTCTCAAATCGCTCTATACAAAAACAGAAGTTAGCAGTCCGACTATTTTTAAAAACAGGAACTTGTGGTTTCTAAAGATACGATTGAAACTTGTAGCAACAAGACAGCTTCCTACATCTTATGTAGGGAACCTAATATGGAAGAAACATTTTATCAAAACACATACAAGCAATGGTTATATATATCTTAGCACAAATGACAATCTAAAAAAAATCAACTCTAACACACACAATTTTATTATTTTCAAAAGACAATAACAAGCTGTTCTTGTGAACAAGCAAGGAAATGGATGCATGAGATTTTGCACGCGTATCTCAAACTTGCAGGGTCACAAGCAGGAAGAACATGTACATCTGGTCTTATGTTTTAGCTTTTTGTGGACAACATGTTAGGAGACAGAATGAATACGACTGAATGGTTTCGTTCAGTCTATGAACAGATAACTCTGCCTGCTATTTATACCTTTGTGTTCATCATTGGTCTGGGAGCTAATGTATGCGGACTGAAGTCTCTGCTTCAGAAATGGAAAAGTCTTGGACACATTAATGTTTTTCTTCTGAACCTTGGAATTGCCAATTTTTTATTACTGCCAACACTTCCATTTTTAACAGCCTACTACTTTATGAAGAATAAATGGATATTTGGAGATGCCTTCTGCAAGATCACAAGATTCTGCTTCAACTTGAATTTATACGGCAGCATTGGATTCCTCACTTGTATAAGTGTGAACAGGTACCTGGCTATTGTCCATCCACTGAAAGCAAAGAGAAGGATCACTGTCCGTACCTCTGTGGCTATCTCAGTCATGGTTTGGCTGTTGGTGAGTGCTCAAAGTCTTCCAGACGTGCTCTTTCCCAAAAACTCACCAAATAGAACTGAAAAATGCTACCATACCACCTCTAACGAGTATGTGGAGGATTACCTGAAATACAGTGTTGGCTGGACTCTCACTGGGTTTGTTATGCCTTTCTTTATTTTTCTTGGCTGCTATGGACATGTGACTCTTGTTCTCTGCCGCAAAAATACCATTAATAAGGTGGTGAAACAAAGAAGCTTAAAGTTGATGTTCATTTTGATTTTGCTCTTCTCGGTCTGTTACATCCCCTATCATATTTTTAAGAACCTCAGCCTTTATTCAAGAGTACTTTTTTCAACCAACAAGAAGTATCCATCATGGGATAAGGGAGTGTTCTGTGCTCATCAGATCAGTCGTGGTCTTGTGTGTCTGAATAGTGTTTTGAACCCCCTGGTTTACCTCCATGTCCTGGATATTCCTGCTCAGCTCCAACAGCTGCTTCAGCGGTTTCGTCAGACATTTACTCGTTTGTTTGTGTCAAACTATGTCAGTGTGCCTGTGGCACAAACTGCAAACAGAGCAATATCTTAACAGTAAATAATGACTTTGCATGCAAAAGTAAGTAAGTTAAAGACTGCTTTATGTACTACAATGTGCTTCATTCTCTTAATTATCACTCACTTTTTCTGGATAACAGTTTTGGCACAAGTGTTTAGACAAATATGTATATATACCTTTGTCTATGTTTTGTTTCCTATTCTATTGCCTTGTATTCTGTGAATGACTAAAACCTGGTGGAATGCATTTACTCTTTTGCTTTAAAACTCATTCTCCTTAGCTTGTATGCAAGATGTCATTGTTATTCCTTGTTATTGCTCTGTATTAGCTTCACTAGCTATTAGCCTTTAAATAATGATGTTATGTATTTGAAATAAATGTAATTTAATCCTTGAAAATTGCATTATTCAAACTCCTTACAACAACAACTTTCACTTTAATGATAGATCAGGACAGAGCTCTGGCAGATTAGTATAATTTATTTCATATTAGTGCTATTACTGTATTTTTTGCACTTTTCAAGAAACTCAGCCTTCATTCAAGAGTTTTGTCAAAATGAAGGATGAGTCCAGATTGGGATGAGGGAGTTTTTGGTCCTCATCAGATAAGTTGTGGTCTTGTGTGTCTGGATAGTGTTTGGACTCCCCTGGTTTTATTCCTTGTAAAGGATTTCCCTGCTCAGCTCAGGCAGCTGGTCTGGCAGTATTGTCAGATGTTGTATTGTCAGTATTGACTTTGGCTTTCTCAAGCACAGCTGAGTTTAAAGACTGCATCATGTAATTCATTTTATATCATTCTTTTAACTATTATTCTGGGGGGTTTTTTTGTTTGTTTTTTTAAAATAACACTTTTAACAAAAAGGTCTACATACATACTTTTATACACACACTTCACACTCAATCTACCTTCAAGCCTGTAAAGTTTATTGTGTTTATTGCTGACACAGAGTTCAGATGTATATTCCATGTATTTTGTAGTGGCAACCTCTGTTTTGTTTTCCTTTTTTTATTGGTCAGTTTAAAATTAAAAACCTTAATTTAATTTATTTTAATTAATTTCTTGTTAATCCCATACTGTACAACTGTCAAATGGAATAAAGTCTGTTCATTCTAATATATGTTCTAAGTATTTCATTCCTTGACAACTCTAATCTCGGAAGTTAATCATATTAATGTTCTGTAGAATGTCACGGCTTTTCCAGATAAGTGTACGTTTGCATGAGATTAATGAAGTCATTTTTAGAAACTTCCATCATGCTTTCAGAGAACTTTTGCTTTCAGATTTAAACCCCAACCAGAGGGAGACTTTAACCTTTTGTTTCAATCATAAGATAAGACAAGACAAGACAAGACTTTATTGATCCCACAACGGGGAAATTTGTGTCACCTCAGCTCAGGTACAGATATCAGAAGGAAATACAAAAATACAAATAAGTACAATCAGTGAAAAAAGTAAGATAATACACTATATACAATGGTAGCATACACAGTATGTGATTATGGATATGGTTGGAAATATGGAAGACATAAACTATATAGCTTGATATAGCTATTGTACCACTACTATTCCTATTTATAGACATGTACACACACACACACACACACGTACACACTAAATATACATATGTATACGTATACAGACATATATACCTGCACATGTCCGTACACATGGAAGGTCCATTATATGCATGAAGTGGTGACCGTGGATGTTCACAGTGTCCAGTGACTTATGACATTGTGATTGAGGAGTTATAGAGTCTAACTGCTGTTGGGATGAATGATCTGCGAAAGCGCTCCTTCCTGCAGCGAGGGTGTTTCAGTCTCTGACTAAAGGAGCTGCTCAGCCCACTCACATACTCATGCAGTGGGTGATTCACTACTGTCAACCTCATGTTTATAGTAGAGTATTTACTTTTAGAAATCACTTATTTCTTAAATTACACACCAGAGTGTGTATGGTGTAGTGCATTTCAAGAATCACAGAATGATTAACAGCATTTGTGCTCAAACAAGGAAGAAGTGTCCATCTGTGCATGGGGCATAGCTTTTACATAACTACAGCTGCCAATCAAAGCTGTTATCATGATGTTGCACCCCAGTTTTCCAGCACAGGCTATGACTACGACAACTGCGTACATTAAACAACCGAGCTATGATCCTGTGGGAATTCGAGACACAGACTGACAAATTGGTGATGGCTATCCAACCAGACATAGAAAATATCTTTTTTTTTGTACTAATTGTGACCCTCATTTACAAAACTGTGTTACTGTCAGTTTTGTAAGCAGTTGATAATAAACCTTTATTCAATGCAGAAATATTGAAAGTAAAAATTCATACAAATAAAAGTGGACTAAACATGAACCCTTTTCCAGTAGTGAAACACTAAAAAACTGTTTGTTGGTATATTTGCCTTTGGTTGTCTAACTAAGAGTAATCAGGGAGATTTTTGTGCTTAAACTTAACCAGTCAACATGAAACTAACCAGCCTCAAGAAAAAAAAAAAAGTGAAACAAAATCAAACACAGGGTGTGGACCATGGTATACTGACTCCTAGCGCTGCACCTGGCGCTCCAGTTACCACTTTAACTGCTTTAGGCAGGTCTCTGTAATTAGATTGTTATCTCTCGCCAGTCACTGCAGTGTCACAGGTGAAGTAGTAATCGTTCAAACACGTATTCAAGGATTCAAGGAGCTTTGTCATTTGCATCACATGTTAACATGAGGTGGAACGAAATTATGTACACACGGTCCGGAGTGAAAAGAAACAAAAATAATAAATAATATAATAAATAGTTGGGTCTTTTTTTTGTTTTGTTTTTTCAACAAACAGAAATGACAAGTAATAAGACAATACAATTGTCAAGTGTTCCTCTGACTGTGAGGTGTCCACACTTGAAAAAGACCAGACTTTGAATTTCACTCAACTTTATTTAGACCAACTAGTTTGATAGCTGGTAGGTAGCAGCAGGTAAAAAAACCTTTCAACACAAAAATAAAGAACATTTCATTAACCATTCAGATAAATTACACAGAAGACAGATGAAATAACAAAATACACTTCAGTAAAGCCATTTACCATGTGGTTAACTGTGTTAATTTAACTGTGGTTCTTAAATAAATATACACAATGTGTCTTCTTTGCATTTAACACTTTTTTATAAACAATTGTATTTTAAAGTATACATTTTAGAGTTCAAACATTTTAATAGACTTTAACTAAGGATTTTCTTTACAAAGAATTATTTTCTTTAAATCAAAACCAAACATTTATTCACTAGTTTTACGATCCACCCAAGGATTTGGGGTAACTATTTTTAATATTAATTAACATAAATATGTGGGAACACTAACTGCACAAACAATTTATTCAAACTTAAACATTCATTTTTGTCAATATAATTAAACTTAAATGCAGCAACTATTTCCCTAAGCGTAAAACATTTGCACAACTGAGCTTCCATAGTCCCAGATACATCTGCAAAAGCAAAATGTGAACTCAAGAGCTTACCGATAGCCTGTCTTGTTCAAAGTCTTCCTCACAGTGGAAAAGTGCTTTGTTTGCCGTCCTCTCAGTATGTTGCACCCGGGTCAAATGACTGCTGCATGCATTTAAAGGTTTACTCGGCACGCCCACCCTTGATTGCTCTAATGTGGCTCACCTGGCAGGGCGGCGCACACCAGGCCGTGCTTAGTTGTTGATTGCACCCAAGGTCTAATCAGCGGCCATGGGTAAGCAGCAGCACCGAACAGGTAGATGGCAGGAGGAGGAAAAGAGGAATAACAGCCACACCTACTAGGTCAGCGCGACAACAATAAATAATACTACATACATCTTCTGTTTTTCACAGGCTTCAGCTGTGACACTGGTTTCTCATTTCCTCATCAGTGAAAAGCGTTTAAGTCAATGTTTTTAGACCAACTTGTGCTTCCCTTTTGCTGCCAGATTGTTGTTGCATCAAGGGTTTTAACCCATAAATGGTCTTGGGACCTTTTTGTGGCTTTTGTGTTTTTCGTATCCAAGCCATTTGCACTGTGTTGAATGGAATATAGCCAAATTCTCTAAAAAAAAGTTTGGTATAATTTTATTTCAAAATTCAAGTCTGACTTCCTTAATGTGGACTTGTTCACAACTAGTTGCTTCTGTCATGATCTGCGGAGGCAGACCGTGCGGAAATGTGTGTGGTGGACCCAGGTGCGAACACAAGCGAAGATACAGGAGTGGATTAAACAAAAGCGGGCCTTTTATTATGGCTGATGAACAGAACAAACCAGAGTGAGGGCAGTATAAGAGTAATAGTTCAAACAGAAACCTAAACTGGACATAAACTAAGGAAAAGCTATGGCTGGAGATACGGAACACAGACGACGCGACACAGACTACATGAAACACAGAGACTAAATACACATGAGGGATGATCAGGGGAAGTGGTCACACATGGGAACACAGCTGACACACATGAACCATAACGACAGGACAGGTGAAACTGAACACACTGACATTGAATACAGACTTTCAAAGTAAAACAGGAAACATGGAGATTAGACATGAACTAAACATAACCACGCAGACGTGACACATGAACCAGGGAGACTTAGTACAGGGGAAGATGACATAAACAACTAAGGAACAAGACTAAACAGCAATCTAGAAATTAACTAGGTGCACTAAGCTAAGGCACAACAGAAGTACAAAAGATACATAAACTCAAACACTGGGTCGCTTGACCCAGGACCATGACAGCTTCATGCTCTGTTTAATCTTACTCTCTCAGTTTCCAGTACATCCCTCAGGGAAAGGTTGACTGAAACATCCTCTTTGCCAATCCTGAGTTCAAATCTGCTGCCATTCAAACCTCATGCTCATGCAAGCTGGTTACATAACACAAGCACCTGCTACCTGCCTGCCCATTTTGCACCGTTATCTTCAGCTGTTTCTTCTGAACACCTCCAGCCAGTCAGGCATACAGTCTGTTGATAAAAATAATCAAGTAAGTTTTCAACTCTACATTTGTCAGAAATTAGGAAAAAAATTTGGAACACTCACCTTAGTTAGAATCAAGCTCCAATTTAAAACTAGCATCAAATATCATGGGCTCTTTCTGTCTTGTCAATCAAAGACCTAGCCCAGGGGCTGGGAACCTTTAACACTCAAAGAGCCATTTGGACCCAGTTTTCATGGAAAAGAAAAGACAGAGAGCCGCAAATACTTTTTGACATCTAAAATGAAGATAACACTGTATATATTCTGTTTTTTTTACCTTTACGCTTTGTATAAACTACTATAGTGTGTTGCTTATGAAATCCATGAAGTGCTACAGAGAAAATTGAATTTTATTTATGTAATGAACACATTTTGAACTCGTAAAAAAATAATAACAAAAAAGAAACACGCCAAGCTAAAAGTCTCTGTCGCAGGGCCCTCTCCTAAACTTCTCCCGAACAAATGCAGGCATAGTCAGAAAGCATTCAGTGTGGATAATTTATTCTGCCGGCCTCCCAGGTGCACAAAAGATTATTTACAAAGAAAATAGGAAACTAACTTAAGTCAACACAAAACAAACATCTATATACAAAACACAGTCTGCATGTTACCCTCTCTGTAACATCTCACTGAAAAAAGACGCCAGGTAGGCCCTGACCGCCTTCTCTTATACCCCATAGCCCCTCCCACTAGGCATAATAGTCATCTCTTTATTATTTCTTTTACCAAACAATCTTTCCCCCTCAGCTTATTTCCCGCTGTATTCCTACAATACATATATGTATATACAGACATTTATGGCCAATTCCAGGCAGCCTACAGTGTTTCACAATAACAAAAAACAAACCAAAAAATGATGCAGTTCGCGTGACCTTTCAAGCGCGCGCGAACCCACTATTTAAACCCCGGAACACCATACCATCGGCTTGCATAACCCCCGTATAATCGGCGATCACAGCGAGTCTCCGCGACCAGCTTTATTAAAGGTAAGTGGGAAAATATGTTGGCCACCCTCTGCGCTGCTCAA